ACAGGACAAGAGGCAACGGGCAGAAACTGAACCACAGGCAGTTCCACCTAAACCTGAGGAAAAACTTCTTGACTGTGAGGGTGACAGAGCACTGGCACAGGTTGCCCAGAGAGGTAGTGGAGTCTTCTTCCCTGGAGATATTCAAAACCCGTCTGGACGCGATCCTGGGAAATATGCTCTAGAGGTCCCTGCTTGAGCAGGGAGGTTGGACTAGATGATCTCCAGAGGTCCCTTCCAGCCTAAACGATTCTGTGATTCTGTGACTTGCAAGGATGAAACTTCAGGTGTGGTTCAGAATTACACCAAGCAGCAACATGAGAGGCTATATATGTGATACCTTTCTTAGCAAGCAGGAATATCTTGATCTTGATTTGAGAGTCATGAAAATAACATTATAAACTATTTCAGGGCTCTTTAAAAATTCTAGAGTTATCAGTATAGGTTTTTCAGGGAATGGAAACTAGCCGTGAAGTGCTGTGAAGTGCAGTTCAGTGATTCCTGAATTGTAAGGCTTTCACCTCTATTTATATTCTGTGTGGAGTAACGTATGGTCATTTGATGCTGGGTTTTTTTCCCCCCCTCTGAATTTCATTTAGAAGAGTAAAAATATGTTGATACCTGAATTGTATAAACAGTTGATCTTCTTAATTTGTTAGTCTCTCTAATGTCTAGAGACAATCAAAACAGTTACCTGAAAATGTTTTATTTAGCAATTTTTAAAACGTAATTCTTTCTAAGGAATCTGAATTTAGATAAATTTGCCCACTTTGAAATGAAGAATGATTAGGTATTGATGTTTTCAAAACTGCATACATTTTTTGTGAAGTTCTTTTCAATATGTTTTTAGGCCAGAAACATTTATCGTGTAACTGTGTTTTTCAGCCAGTGTAACTGTGTTTTTAAAAGTTGTCTGGCTGAATTACTCTCATGTTTCTTAGCATGAGTAGTTGCCATGGCAGTTAAGGGGCATTAGGAATATCTGACAGTCTCTATCACTGTCTGTTGACGGTATCCATTTTGCTGCACCTTTGTAACATACTGTGCTGCTGGAGGTTCCCTGCAGTCTAGAAGTAGACAAAAGAAGACAAGGTGCCCTTTGTCTAGAACTTCCGCTGTTTTGTAGTAAGTATTTTTGCACTAATAAAAAGCCTCTTTGGTCACTGACACTTGCTGTTACTAGTTATGGATGTTTATTTTTGAGGGACTGGGGTTAGAGTATGCTTAATGAGTTTTGATCACTTTGTATATCATATTTTTTTAGTGAAATATGAATACCATTGATGAATATTCAAGGTATCATACAGCCAGTTCAGGTGCTGCTTCATCTTTCTGTTCCCACGGGATTATTTTTCATAGTTCACTGCATCACGTGTTTGCATTCAGAACTAAGGGCTTCCTGAAATTAGTTGCCAGGGGATTGGAGTTATTTCTAGGTAATAAACCCATGGGACCTGGTTGGTTTATGAAGTCTAAGTGAAAATACTAGATGTAAATTACGTGTTGCTTTTTTAATGTTTTTGTTTCACCTAAGCAAATGTTTAACTAGTTGGGCTTGTGTCATGATATTCAGAGAATAGTTTGAATAATTCTTACAATGCTTTGTAATGCAGAGGGGAAAAGACTGGTAAAATAGCTGATATTTCCTTTCCTCTCTCCATAGCTGGTTACTTGCAACTCATGCAACAAAACAACAAGACGTTATGGTAAAAGCAGAGATTTTCTGGCTGCCGTGACACACCATTCTGGTACTCCAACCATTAAATCTGGCCTTAAGACACCAGATCGGAAAATTCCATCTGCAAACAAAATGACCCCTCTAAGCTGCGGTAGGTCTGGATCTAAAGGAAAGAGTCCATCATCACTTCCCAGGTATCTGTTTCTCTCCTATTTAAAGAGATGTTTTACTGAGTAGAGCATACTACTACCTGTTGGGAAAGGGATTCATGTTCCACTCAGTGAATTCAGATTAAACCTTTAATTGATAATTAAATATTTTTTCCTTAGTGATCTGAATAAGGAGATCAGCTTTGCCTTTTTAACCTTTACAATCAAAGATTGTGATGAAAAGTGATGATGTGCAAAGAATGCACAATTATGTTATTTAAGTAATGTGAAATGTCCAGCTTAAATTTTGCATAAAATGTACTTCTAACTGCTCGCTTTCATATGAAAATACACTACTTGCATTAAAAATTTTCACTCAGATGTATATGCACTTTCATACAGTTACTTTATACTAATTTGGGTATCTCACCTTTAAGATGTTTGAGTCTTTTATGTTTCAGAACATGTGTATCTGGACAGGCGACAACCAGCTCCTTTTCCAAGACTCCTCGAAGCTCCAAATTTCACTTTTCTAAGCTAAAATGGATGCTTAATCTAGAAGAAAAAGAGAAAAGCCAGAAGGCAGATTTGAAAACCTTCTTGACTTTACTTTAGTTATTTATTATTGTAAAATAATAAAAGTTACAGCAATAAGTATTTTTCCAGTTGTAGTAAATCAGCAAAAGTCGTGCTTTCCTTAAAACTCAAGCTATTCTATTTACTGTGTAAGAATAGGCCGTGTTTTTTTAGATGCAAGCTCTGTTTCTGTGGGGTCTGACTGCCTGCATGAGAGAAATAACCAGTCTAGTATGCTTGGGAATTTTGTACAAGTTATGCAGTCTCTAATGGCCCAAGAATTAAAAGCCAGAATCTATCCTTTGAGGAAGCAGACAATACTGGATCCATTAATGTACCAGTTTCCTCCACCTCCCTCCTCTATTTTTAAGATAATGCATCACAACAGAACTTAAAAGATCTCATCCTTGCTTCCTGTGTTTGAGTTAAACACAGACACTTTGGTTGGTGCATTCTGCAGGTATAATATGTTCAAGAAGTCAGCGTTACTGTCCCCTAGTGTCACTGTTCTTCTGACACTTGTGTTATTTTAAATGTTGTTACAGTCTTTACAAAGGTTCCAAAATAACTTACTCTTTAAGACAGCACTCATACAAAGAGAGATAAAACAGTCTATCATCCAAACTAAGTTTCTTCATTATTTGAAGAATGTTCTTTGTGATGTGGACCGCAGTTGCTGCTGCTCCCAAGATAACACAGAACCTTGCGAGGCTTGCACTGTAATGCAGGAAGCTCTGAATACCTACCAAGAGCTTCACACTAGGCTACTATCAGTACCCCACTTCATTATGTGTATGGATTGCACAGCCATAAAGTATACAGGACTTTTCCTTTCTGGTTGCTCTTGTATTACCGAAATGGATCAGTCTTGTTTCTTTCAAAAATGGCTGAGGAGAGAACCTCTTTTTTTAAACATCTTTCAGTTTTGACAGCCATCAGACTTTATAGTTACTTCCTTCCTGCGGTTAAGTCTGGAAAAGTAGGCTTGCTCTGGACCGTAGTTATCTCCTTGCCCCAGAACATTTTGATGTGCATAGAAGCTGATAAAGGTTAAAGTGGTCTTCCACCTTCAGATTTCACATTTTCAATTCAGCACAGGAGGTGAGAGGACAATATAAAAAGCCAAGATTCAGGATGGAGCTTATAGTCTGCATACGGTCTGCAGTGGCAGTTCTGCAAATCATGGTTCAGACTTCCTCTCTCAAAAGAGAATCAACTGCTGAAAAACATTTGAATTTTTGGTTTTAAAGTTCTATATTTCCTATTTTGTGTTTTAATAAATATGTCCTTTTAAGTGCATGCAGATTCAATGCGCACCAGTTAAGAAATAGGACCAAAAAATAAGTTGGCAAACTTCAAAACAGGTGGGTGGGGGGGGTAAAGATTGTTGCAAATTCTACTTACCTTCTCAAAGATTGTCATGCAACATTTTTATATCTCCTAGCCATACATAAAACAGTTTTGAAACGTTTACTTCAGGTTGTTTCTTAAGTACAGGTAAGATCAAATTAACTGCCATTCTAGGATCAAAACACGGACCTTGAAGTTGCACCTTTTCTGATGTAGAACTTGGTATTAATTCATCTGTTATTTACCAAGCTTGTGATCCAGTACTCTGAGAAAATACTTCAATCTTGTTCATGGAGAATGTATGTTATAAAAGTGTTTGCAAAACAAGTTTTATAATAAATTTTTATATTAGAAGTGTGTACTTCAGATACTTTACTGCTCTGCTTCTTGTGAGACATGAAAAGGGCTTGGGTATGTGGTAAATTTAAAGGTGCACCAACAGTAATTTTTTTAGGTCACGTCAAGAGTGTGCTTTTGAAGCATATCTCCTAATTGTCCCTGTTCACTCTGCTTTTTACACAACAGAGTGGTCTCACAGTACCTGAACCACCTTTCCTTCTGGATAATACTGTGAATTATGGATAAAAGCACAGATAAGATGCTCCAGGGTTACAACTAATGTGTTCTAACCGCTAATGGGCAGCCAGTCCCTAGGGCCACCTAGTCTGAAGTACAACTCCCTAAAAAGTGTACTATGGATGCTAAATCCTGAGCAGCAGCTGTTTTGCTTTCCAGAACTATTACTAATGCAATGTGCTACTTGTTAATGTAGATACAGCCTTGAAGTGCTCCAAACCACATCTTTTTCTTTGTAATTACTAGAGACATTACAAAAGTCCAGATACAGTCTGAGAAAGGGATGATATTGCAAGCTATCAGAATAGCCACTTTACCATGGAAGAAAAGTAAAATTTTTCATTCAGTATGCATCACTCCTTGTTTTAAAAGTATGCTTCAAGATGCTGTGCAGCAATAGTTTCAGGTATTTTATATCTGAACTGCCTTTATGTTATTCCTATACCTCTGATACAGTCTTTCTCTGTTACTGCACTATCACAGAATCAATATAGTGGAAAATATATATAAAAAAAACCCAATGCACTCTTCAGCATGTATCAGCCTATACGTTCCTGTAGCTGATGAAACACTGAAGGTTAATGGTTGGTTGCAACAGACTATTAATGAGCCTCCCTGTTAAACATCTTCCACGCAGTGGTATTCAGTTTGTGTTTGAAGAGCTGGAAGAGCAACGCCTTTTATAATCAGTCATTTCAGTTTCCAAAATTTTTCTGAGACTTTACCATAAAGCAAGACCAAGAAGGTTCATTATTAAACATACACCTGTTGGACACAGTATTATAAATTTACCGTTACTTACCTGTTCATGCAAACTATTTACGCAATGGTTTATCTTTGATAATAATAGCATGATAAGCCCATATAATGAAAATGTTGTAAGATGTTGCTTAATACAACCAGCTCACAGAATGGTTAACGTTGGAAGGGACTTCTGGAGATCTAGTCCACCTCCCCCC